TGTGCTGACTCAAGCTAACACCATTGCATCACTGTGTCGATTGACCCACTATTCATCGACTTTATCTCATCTTTTACCATTTTACTATAATATGTGTGTTTTAAGCAGTGGAGGAAGTGTACGTGTGTTACTTTAGCCTTTAAACCACATTATACTTAACCACATGTTGCAGCCCTGTACCATTTCTTGTTGTTCAGTGGGAGCTGGAGGCCTGGCCAGAGATTTCCTGTTTGTCTCTGCCATTAGATTCAGCCTGCTGTAGCATGCAGGCTTTCATGTTCTCCCTCATAAGGTCATGTGGTTGATTAAGTGGGTTTCAGCAGAGTTTTGTGGGGAATGCAGGGCTGGTAGGTGCTGTAAATAGGAGCTGGACAGGACAGCTGAGGATTACAGAGAGGAGTGCCAACAGCTGCAAGGCTCTTTACCTCCTCCCTCTCTTTTTAAAAGGAAGGAATATAATCCATTCTTAAGCAGTATTCATCCTTCTCTTTCTGGTCCCGCTGCTGATGTGTGATCAGAGCAGTGCCAGGCGAACAGTGATGTCATAAGTGTGTGTTACAGGAGAGCAAGGCCCAGCGGGAGAGAAACTGCTATTTATGTGAATTTTACCTTCATTACTACACAACAGAAACATCCCACATGTCAGTTTAAATAATGATTTAAACTTTTCTTGTAGGCTGTTTCACAACAGGGCAACCCAACCTTAAACATGGGCTGAAGTAGAAGCCCATTATAACCTGTGATAGCAGTGAAGTGACTGGTTACTAGGGCTGGGTAATATAGGCAAAAAAATGTTGCCACGGTGATCATAATTTGTCCATTCATTATGTTCAATAATTATTGCCTACATGCATTTCCCAATGCTCAATTTTAAACATACACTATGTAAGTTTAGGCAATTTGGCGACCTCTCTGGTGGAAAAGTGTAATTGCACACAATGTGCAGAAAACATTTTGTAACACAGGTTGTGCTTTGGATCTACTACTGTCATCATATCTTCATCAGTATATAATGTAGAGCAGGCATGTCAAACTGGGAACCTACCAGGCCAAAGTACTGCAGGGATTAGTGTATACCCTCATCTAAGGCTCTGAATTCAGTTCATGAAGGCCTTGCTAATTAGCTGATGAGCTGAATCAGGTGTGTTAGTGAAGCTGTGTGTATGACGTTAATACATAAAGACGTATGACGTAGCCCGAAAACTTCTGCGAAATCTGACCCAACGCCTCTGACTTTTAAATGATTATTTCAGGCTTTACAGGGTGACCCGCAGTGGAGGACAGGCCTTATATTTTAGCTTTTCTTCTCGCTCCTGGCTCAACAGTGCTGCTTCTTTCAATTTTAACATAAACAACAACTTACATAGTGCAGCTTTAAAGCTGAATGTTATTTTGAAACTTAAAGACAACAAAAGGCTTATTCTGGTTGTTCTGTTACATCTGATATGAACATGGCAGAGGATGTGAGGCCTTCTTGTTGCCACAATCTCATTTTGTTCCACTTTTCACACGTTCCTTTGCATACGTTTAACAAGCATAGCTAACTCTCCAGCTGTCCTCATCGTTTGTGGTGTTGCAAGTAACCATTTTTCATGTTGGAGTCGAAGCCTTGTGCTAAGTACTGGATTGAAGAGCTGAACAGCACAATCATTTTATTGAAAATACCTCAAGGGTATTATCAGTACTAGAAAAAAATGTTCAATTTCGATAATTGTCATTACCATTTTATCAGCCAGGCCTAATTTGAACCATTTAATTCGGTCTCATCATTTCTGCCAGGTGGTAGGATTCGGATGTGGAAATGGATTATGTAAAAAATGGCCTAGTTGCTGTCGCTCTTATCTTTATGCTATTCATCTGTAGCTTCTAACATGGAAAATCTGAATTTTGTTTTGTCTATAAATCCCTCTTTTCACACTGAAAGCCTTTAGGGACTGACAGCATTCATTTTTCTCTGATGCATTCATTTAAACCACGCAAATCCTGCATGTTGGACAAACGCGCACTGCTACTGTACATCAGCTGTCCTCCATGGAATCACCAAAACTGACAATGTAAGAGTTTTCCAAAAAGAGAGAGAAAGAGAGAGCGTCGTTTTGTTTACCCCTCCCCAACACCCCCATACCTTCATCTTTGTAAATCGTTCTGACACACAAATGCACAAATGTCCTCAGGTGTTCCGAATGTTGTTTTGAGTTGCGAGCGAATGCCATTAGTTGTAATTGCTGACATTGCGGACTCATTTCGAGTGTGCATGCATGAGAAAGTGCACAGCTCAGGCAGAGGTACGTGTGTGTGTAGCCTCGGGGCTTGCTTTTTCCCAAAGCCTTCATTTCCTCATTTGCCCTCGTTAGTGGAGCCAATCCTTCGTTAGTGAGCGATAAAGAAGTAGAATGCGGTGCTCCAATTAAGCTCTTCGTTTTACAGGAGGTTGAGCACAGTTTGCGCATTAAGGCATATTGGGAAATCTAGCGATTGAATTAGTTATTTAGGATTAATTTGTTTTGTTTGCTTTATAAGTGGGCTAAATACGCAATTGAGACTTAATGTCTTTTTTGTTGTTCCTTTGCCTGTATGACTTTGATCTTACGATTATAATCTTAGAACTATGTGAATCTGCACCGTACATGCTCCCAGAACAGTGCTTTCCACTTTTCTGTCTGTAAATCGTCGGTCAGGTGTAATGCATTTCTGTGTATTTTTGAAGGTAACATCTCTTTTTTCTAATGTATGAAAGGGAGCCTGTTTGATGTGCCCAAGAATGCATCAGTGTATTTAATGTTGCTCACTACAAGACCCAGCAGCTAGGATATATGATACTGACCTGTCTATTAAGGGCTACAGATATTTATCCCTGGTGAGGAAATCAGGTGGTGTTGTGAAGACATGGAATATATACTAGAAATGAACAAATCCCAACTTCTGCTCTCCCAGTACCAAAATCTGAATTCACTGCATCACAAGTACCAAAGCTCAGTTAAGGCACTCATGTTCTAGCAGAGTATATAAACATAAATGTATAATAGAGGCTAATGTACCTCAGTGGAGATGATTACACAACACAAAATCTTGTTCTAGAAAGTTTATAAAGTGGCTCTGTTACAGTTATAATGCTCATGTAATGGTATCAAATGTGAAGTATTCACATCTGTCTTATATGGATTCAGTATATCAGATCAGTGCATTACTATGCTGTGCTTCACTATCATGATACTGTGTATTACAGCCTTCATCACTTCGGCCCTTACAGAGCACCGTAGCCCTTGAGAGTAATGGCGTGCACCTGAAGTTCATAAGAAAACCTGTAATGACCCATTTCCTGCACTGTGTGTGGGGAACCGAATGAAAAGAAAACACTGAGGATTAGAGGGATGAAAATAATTGGTGGATAGATTGCCCCTATTCCCCTCCAAAGAGAGTTAGTCTTGGCTTAAGCAATAGCATTATCCCAGCCCACAACACTCATATAGCAAAGCTGAAAAACAAAACTGATGCTGAGGAGCCGGTTATATGAATCTATTACACCCTCATGCGCAACTGCAGCTTCATCCATTGCAATCAACATGCATGTCCTGAGACTTTAGAAGAGCACTGTGGACAGTTGTGGTGTTCAGCCATGTTATCTACAGATACTAGTTTCAGTCATGACTGTACAACGTACAATAGTTGCTATTACAGTACTGATATCGCTGAAGGCTGCAAAGTGCAGTATATATATATATATATATATATATATATATATATATATATATATATATATATATATATATATATATATATATGAATGCAGATATAAAGGCACCAGAAAGAACTTCAGGAGTCCAAGATAAGTTTTAGCCAGGTGCAAATACATTCATCTCTCCAGGTCACATGAGATCCAAAACCCCTCCTAATACATTACATCAAAATGCATGAGGTTCGTAACTGTGGTGACAAAAACAACAAATTCCAGCAATATCTGCCAAAGTTAGCCTCTAAGTGTAAAAAATAAAAAAACAACAATGCAAAATTGTGATTTTCAGGGTGCCAGCCATCTGTTGAATAGAATTAAAAAATGAAAAGGAATAGATTAAACGGTCATATTGTGCTGATTTGCATATTACATGCTGTATGAAATTTGGATTGAAATATGATTAACCGAAGACACATGTAAATGCATGTGGTTAATCTTATGAGGACACGTTACGCTTACAAGTTGCAAGAAAAAGCCAGATGTCAATAGGGTTACAGTTCTAGATCAATGTTCTTGTGTTTTGTTGAATCAAGGCATTTATGTAGTCCAGCAAAGGCTAATTATTTTGGACAAAAAAATTCATGGTTCAGTAGTGCATGTTTTAATATACTGTAGGTCAGACCGCAGTATGTAGCAGCATAACTGCAGTACTAGCATTTTGTCCATATTGTGCAGTTCTAGTTCCAAATGTGCTCAACACCACCTGACTCCACTAATGATATCTCCTCTCCAACAAGGACGGAAACCTAATTAGAAAAATCAGGTGGGTGGTCAGGACCAATAGCCGTAGACTGCGCAGCTCTCGGAGGATTCAGCCGAGTTCCCATTATATATTCCTAGAGATTTATGGTCTTGCAGAGTTCAGTTCCCATCCTAATGGAACACACCTGGCTCTAATATTCCGACGCTCTTGAAGACCTTGATTAGCTGGATCAGGTGTGTTAGATTAGGGTTGGAATTAATATAACAAAGTCTTACAGTGGAGAGTCCCTGAGATGGGTCCAAAGCACCTTTGTTGAACATCAAAACCTCATTACACCGGCTTGCATAGATCAAAACATGATTTGTAGAAATGTATTTTATGTGTTCCCAGCCTTGAAGTCATATTTTAGGTAACCTAACGAGTTTTCAGGCTCAGTCCATTATTTATTACATTTTAAAACCCAATTTGTTTTTCTTGCTCATCTATTTGTTTTCTTATAACAGCAAAGAATATCCCAGCCTGTGTTGTGAGTCTTTCTAGCGTGTGTACATGTGTGTGTTGCAGTGAAAGAAGAGTGTGTGTCAGAAGAGGATGAGAGGAGTAGGGATGCTCTGGTTGAGGAGATGCTTCAGCAGGGAGACACAGCAGTCATTTTTCCAGAGGCACCAGAGGACGAACCTCGCCAGGGCACACCAGAGACCAGCGGCCATGATGAGAACGGTACATAATACACAAAGGCCTGACCAACAAGAAAGTTTTGTGACCAATACCTCATTTAAGGTGCTAAAAATTCAAATAACCAATAACACTGGCTGGTATACTTTAATACAGTCAAAGCAGACTCTAATAGTTCTTATTAAACAGCGCTTTACTGTCTGATATGACTTTAAACCATCAACTATGAAATGTCAAATCATTTGATCACAATGTAATAATATAAATGTTGCAGTGCAGTGTGCAGGGCTTCCTAGAAAGGTTCTGTTCTTAGCGGACATCATCATGTTAGATGCATTAGATGGCTTTTACACTTTTATTTGAACTATGATGTTGTTATTGGTTCATATTTACCAGTTCAGCCTGTATTTGTCTAATAGAAATGAGACTTAGTTAGCAGGCTCTATGTAATGAACAGCATTCCTTGCTATAGAAGTAAATGTTCATTACAATATAAAATGTAAGATCTAAATATAGGTTGCTTTTGTTTTAACAGCGAGATTTATGATGATACTGATAAATTGGCAGACTAATACAGTCATGTGGGAAGGTTTGAGCACCCTTCATCAAATGACATGTTTTGTTGATTTTCTAAGTGGAAATAAATTAAAACATCCTCTACAGAGAACACACTTCAGCACATTTTAATGCACAATTACTGTTTATTTACTGAATTTAACAAAAAGGATAAACAAATAATACATCAAATGTGGCTAAAGTTCTGGCACATTTTACATTTTTGTTTTATTTTTCCAATATGTACAGCTCAGCAAATACATACAAATTGTGCACTAGAAAAAAATGCCAAATATAAGTTTGTTCCCATAAGAGTTAAGATGTCTTAACTTATTTTCCCTGAGAAAATCAACAAGGCATGTACTTTGAGTGGGGGTATTCAATTCAAATATTTTGCCTATGACTGTATATACTAATATTTACACACAGAGGAGAATAGAAGTCATGACAAACACACCATTTTAAATTCATTGTCATGATGAAGCACAGACCTTACAAAGCTCACCTTTAATGACTCAAACATTTCCACCCCTGCTCACCTGTTTGAACAGACACTGAGAAAACGCACCTGAGCAAATCTCTCATACCTGAGAGACTTTCTCACGTTCCGGAGAGCGTGTGTGGGTGTGGGAGCTTTACACCTGTCCAGGGGAAAAGTTTAATACATTACCTGTTAACAGGTAATATGTTACCTGAGTAAAAGTCAGGCAGAGGCTGGTGGAAATGTTGGCCAGGTGCGCTCTCCATCTTCAGGAACAACTGTAAATGAATGCATTTATTATGAAGTGTACACATATAGGTATGCCTTTCAGCAGTGTGTAACCTCAATTTATATATTTATATTTATACTATATTTATAGTCTCTTGCAGTACAATTACAGTCTACTGTTAAAGTGGAATTCCAGTTACATTGGTATTAAGGCATTCAGCTATGAAAAGGTGTGTATTACAGTGATGTTTTACATCTGTTAAAGGGACGTTTCACCCTAAAACTAGCATTTAAAATATTTGTCATGTTATGTAATATATTGTGCAGTACTGTATCCCTCATACTCTGACGTACCACTTACATAGAGTCTAATGAATACAGACTTTATATTCAGGTTTTCCTAGCAGTATTATTAACTAGGCCTCCCGGGCTTCGTTCTGCATTTTCCAAAAAAAAAAAAAGAACGAAAGAAAAAATAATAGCCCATCCAAACCTGCCTGTAGTTGTATTGAAGTTCCTCCTACCTTCAAGATACATCATCAGAAGGGAGTTTTCCTTATCTTTAATCTGAAAATCTCACTCTCTAGACTATTGTTGCATCACTATAGAGGATGGGAAGGCATATTTACAACAGGTTTAGCAATGGTTAAATGATTAAATAAAAATAGTGTTGCTGTAAGGGATGTTGTTAGGCATGACACAAAGCACCAGCGAAATACAATATGGAAAAACATACAATACATAAAATTTGCTGTTAATAACAAGCACAATAAAACAGTTTTTTTACCAAATAATGTAGTTGGATAACTTCAGGCTTAATTTTATTAAATGAGTGTGGCGAGTATCTGCCATAACCCTCAGTAATATGCTCATCACTGTAATGTATGGTATAGTTTGGATGCTTCTAATACTGTGATTTATATTGATTTATTAACACAGTCTTCGTGAGGTCTGTCACTCATTTCCACACTTCCAGCAGCTCATTTTTTAACCAGGCTGAAAGAGCGCTTCCCTCTGCAGCTCATTGTTCAGCCGCGTAATTATACACCTCTTTGCAGGTGTTGTTGTTTTTGATTATCGGGCTGCCTTTGCTCTTTTTTGCTTTTCATTTCTTTTTCTCCTCATCCTTCTCTTTGTGCTGAAGATGGAGAGAGAAAGTTGTTGAGTTGCGCCGTAGCTGTCACTCAGCACACATCAAAGGCCTCTCCACATTACATTGTGTGATTGAAGTTCACATATTCCCCTACTTCAGCTTGCACTCTTCAAAACCAGTGTCATCAAAACCAGCACAATAACACACAAACACACACACAAAACACACACTTGTGCACACGCACACGCTCTCTTACTAATACATTCACACGTTTTCATCTGCAACAAAGGCGGCTCAGGGTTATTCAAGTGCTTAACATCATTTGTATGTACGCTGCCACAATACGTGCACTCAGTTTATTAACTGTACTAAACATTGTGTGTCGTGTTGTTATATCAGTGTTGTAACAATGAGCTTATCTCTCCTTTCACTTAGGACTCAAGAGTTGTAATCAAGGGTTTCCTTCATCTTTTTCTCTGTATCTCAGAAGCTCATGTCATAAGAAAAAGCACACTTTGTGTTATGTATGTGTGAGAGAGATGGACATATAAACACACACAAGCCTTTGTCCTTGGACTTGTATCTTTGTCCTTGTACTTACCCCTCTGTACTTACCTTGCTCTTTCTCTCTGTCTCTCTCTCTCTGTCTCTCTCTCTTTCTCTCTCTCAGGCACACCCGATGCGTTCTCCCAGCTCCTCACCTGTCCATACTGCTCTCGCGGCTACAAGCGCTACACGTCTCTGAAGGAGCACATAAAGTACAGGCACGAGAAGAGTGAGGATAACTTCAGCTGCTCACTCTGCAGCTACACCTTCGCCTACCGCACCCAGCTCGACCGGCACATGACCGCACACAAAGCAGACAGAGATCAGGTACTTTAACCCATTAAACTACAGCCAGTCGTTAATCTTAAGACCCATTCATTTAGCAGCTATGAATTATGTGGTAACAGCTATGAAATTAATATGCAAGCGATGGTATAAGGGTGGGCAATATGATGATATCTGCACCTATATAAGATGTTATTATGATATACTACATCACTGTATGTCACAACTTGTTTTTCTGATCATATCGTGGTTATCAACAGTGCTTAAAGAACACTGAGTAACTGCATGTTTCATAACAGTCAGCATAATTTTGTTTAATTGGATTTAGTGCAGCTCACTGTATGAATAAAATTGTTCTCCTCTTATATGTTGCACTAATATCATGTATTAGGCTTGTGACAATCATGATTTTAGCTGACAATTAATTGCCCTGTAATTGTTATGAAATTCTGTGATTAACAGTTGAGTACAGGCATAGGGTGGGCTCAAATAAACAAACATTACTCACCCCTTCTCTTTAAAGGTGTTATAGCAGAACTTGTTATAATTACAATTTATGGTTATAATTAGCACTTCTGTTGTTTTTGTGAGACCCATGGCTTGATAAATGTGTTTTCTGCACTCAGTCCAACTGATGAAATTGCACCCAATTAAATTCTGTTTGATGTGACATAAACATGATTATGAAAGCTAATAACTGTGGAAAATAATTACGGTCAGCTAAAATAATTATGATTATATGATTATACAACAAATAGTTGTGATTTTGTAAGAATTGTGACAGGCCTATTGTGTACAGTGAAAATGTTTTGAAGTATTGTGATATTATATTTTGGCCTTATTGCCCACCTCAAGTATGTAGTTATGACAGTGAGTAATGATGTAACCATTGACTCTAAATCCATCATATGCTCAGACAGTGCTTTTTACAAATGTGCCACATCATAATTATTCTAACAATATACAGAATATGGAATTTTTGAAAGTATGAAGGAACATAAAAAGTAATTCAGTTTTTAGATATCCTAAGGTTATAATGACTTCCTTAATTTGTTTGTTGTGAGTGTACATTTGTGTGCAGTGAAGCTGATGTGTGTAAATTCTTACATATACAAGAGGACTTTACACATTACTAATTTCTCTTTTTTTGTTAATTATTAAGCATTGGGATTTTTTCCATGTAGTTTGTAGACATATATGGATAAATTGCAGGCCATAACTAAACTTACATTGATAATTTAGTAGCATAAAATGTTTTGTTTCCTTCTTTCTCACTGTCTTTTTCTTCCTCTTGTTTAGCGGCATGTAACCCAAACAGGGGGTGGAGGAAACCGTAAGTTTAAATGCACTGAATGTGGCAAAGCCTTCAAATACAAGCACCACCTGAAAGAACACCTGCGCATCCACAGTGGTGAGTGCACTGTGTGTGTGTGTCAGTGTTTGTACTTTGTTTTAGTTAATAAGGTAATTTGACATCAGTATGCTCTATCAAAGTCCTGCAGATGTAGTCTCTGGCTAACCTTTAGAAGTAGGAAACATGATTGTGTTTGTATTGGCTCTTAAGCAGCCTGATTGTACAGACTTTTATTTCTAGAGATAACAGAAATCAGGTGCATTCCTTGTTTTGGAATGTCTCCTTTGTTTATTTTCATAGAAAATTTATTGCATTTATTTATTATGAAGATCTTTTCATTTTCATTTAACTAATGAACAGATTTTTTTTCGTCTATTAACTTACATAGCATAAAGGTCCTCATTTTATGAACGGTCAGAGACTTTATTCAGGTTGTGGATGAAATACGCAAATTAACTTTGTTTTTCTTCTTCACACGATCCAAGTTTAGATACTATCAGCAGTTGGCCAGCTGCTGAAATGACTATGAAATGAAAGTGTATTACAGTAGAATTGCATAAATGGGGTTAGATGTAATTCTTTGCTGATTAGACTAAGTTAAAGATCAGATATATATTTTTGAGAAAAGACAAAAAAAAAAAAATCAGATTTGACTGCCAGTGTAAACACTCCTGGTTTGTTATCTTCTCTGTGTAACAGGATTTGTCTGTGTTTGTCTCACAGGAGAGAAGCCATACGAGTGCTCTAACTGTAAGAAGCGTTTTTCCCACTCCGGTTCCTACAGTTCCCACATAAGCAGCAAGAAATGCATCGGCCTCATCTCCGTCAACGGTCGGCCGCGGCCTTCCCCGGCCACAGGTGGCGCCAAAACCCCTCAGTGCCCTTCTCCATCCCTGCCCTCCTCCCCTGCCACTGCACGCACTCAGCTCAGAGACAAACTGGACCACAGTAAGCCCTTACAGGAGCAGCTCCCACTCACACAGATCAAGTCTGAGCCACAGGACTATGAGTACAAGCCTGTGGTGGTGGCCCCAGCTGCTGGAGGAGTGAATGGGGTTTTCCAGGGCGGAGCAGCAGCCCCTCTGCAGGGGGCGGTGCAGGCTGTGGTTCTGCCAACTGTGGGCCTGGTCTCGCCAATCAGCATCAACCTGGGTGACCTGCAGAATATGCTAAAGGTGGCGGTGGATGGGAACGTGATCAGGCAGATGCTGGAGAACGCTCAGACCAAAGGCCAGCCCGCAGGCGCTGGGAGAGTGGCTATAGCCCAGGCTCCACAGCAAGTTATCCAAGCCATTAGTCTTCCAATAGTGGACCAGGACGGAACGGCCAAAATTATCATCAACTACAGCCTGGATCCATCACAGGCCCAGGCAGCCCTACAGAACTTGAAGAAAGAGCCTGTGGGAAAGAACACTGATGCCTGCAAGGCTGAGAGACTGCCTGAGGACCTGACAGTCAAAAGCAAGACAAGCAGGGACAAAACCACCATCACTGTGGGTGAGGAGAAGCAGCAAGAGAAGGGACGTGATGCAGCATCCAAACACTGTGGCAAAGAAGGACAGCAGATTAATGGGACGCACCTGGAGGAGAAAACTGAAGCAGATATTGGACTGTGTCCTGGGCAGCCACCACTAAAGAACCTCCTGTCACTGCTCAAGGCTTACTTTGCCTTAAACGCTGAGCCCACCAAGGAGGAGCTGGCCAAGATCTCAGAGTCGGTCAGCCTTCCTACCGAAGTGGTCAGGAAGTGGTTTGAGAAGATGCAGTCTGGGCAGATTCCTGTGGAATCGTCCTCTCCTGCACCGCAGGACGAGCAGGACGCTGGTGGAGACACTGACGGAACACCAGAGGAAATCCTCAAGTCTACCCTGGAGCAGGATGAGGAAAGGAGCCCGGAAGAGCAGGAGAACAAACTTCATAGCCCAGCAGAGGGAGCTACAGCTGGGACCAATGGGACAGAAAGTGGCTCAGCATCCCCTTCACCACTAAACCTATCCGCAGACGGGCCCGTCCCAGCCCGAACCGCAGAGGAGGGTGAGGGACCCCTTGATTTGTCCCTCCCTAAATCCGCAGCTGCAGCTAATGCGGCTGGCGCTCACGCTAACACTGTTTACTCGGCTCAGGATGAGCCACTGAACTTGACTTGCACAAAGAAGGAAGCGCTGGGCAATGCAAGCGCCGGTGCTGCAGTCTATGCCAGCCAAACAAGTGCCAATCCCATTAACATTGTGACCACTCAACTGCCCACGCTGGTGGCTATCACCGAGCAGGGCCATGGGCAGTGTCTGCGTGCCCTCACCACCACTAAACAGACCATCCTGATTCCACAGCTGGCCTACACCTACACCACTACAGCCTCCAGCCCAGCAGGGGGCGACACACAACAGAAGACCATACTGCAGGTCAACGGCATCAAGGTGAGAACATAAGAAGGTGATATTTAGTGTGCTCCAGAATTAGACAGCTGCAAATAATATGAACAAACGTGCTTGAAATTCACTTCTTTTTCCAATAAGAAAATTATAAAGTCCAGAGGTCCTTTTGGGTCCCTCAGATGGACCATATTTTTGCTCTATCCCAACTCACCCTAAGAATAGAGCAAAATGTAAACTGTATTGGGGGCCCTGAGGCCCAGTTTGAGAACTACAGATAGTTTTTGAAAAAATGTTATGGCTATTTTTACTAATCTTTGCTTGGGAATCTTTCTTTACACATCAGATATCCTGTGAAGGTGGCATAAGTATATACATTGTCAAAACAAATGCTTGCATCTCTGAAATAGTAAATTTATAGGAGAAAGAAAAAACATTAATGTTTATTAAATGTATATTAAATAAATGTTAATGTTATAACACTGACGCTGTTCCACATAATTTTAGACTAGTTCTGTGGGTCCATTCATCATAAAATTACATTTTTAAAGTTACATGTACACATTCTGCAGATGTTCTCCAGAGTGAATTACAGGTACATGTGGCAGAGGTAGGCAGATGAAGCATTAGGAGTCTCACCCAAGAGCTCTTTTCAGTATAGCATACTGTGTTTGCTTGGGAAAGGAATCGAACCTGAACTATGGCACAAAGGGTAGTGGTATTATCCACTATACCAAGTGTTCACACATTGTAATGTGCAGTTAGTATTTTCAGATACGATATGAGAGCAACAAAATATGCCATGCTTTGTGTTTGCGTGTAGGAAGAGAAGCAGGAGAGCAGTTCAGAGGTGGCTACTGTATTGGAGGAGCAGACAGACTCCGACTCCGGCCCAGTGAGGAAGAAGATGAAGAAGACTGAAAATGGCCTGTATGCCTGCGACCTGTGTGACAAAATCTTCCAGAAGAGCAGCTCACTGCTTCGACATAAATACGAACACACAGGTATCATTTCCATACGCACACAGACAGATTAACTAGCCCGTTCTCACCCTGGCCGAGACGTTCCCTCACCATTTAGCTGCTGGGCCTCCGAAAAATTATGAGGCAAAATGGATTTGAAGGGGAAATTATGACAGAGCTATTTAAATTGCAACATTATTATTACCTTACACATTTAACAGGGTGGAATTCACAGTTCCAAATGCTGTTACATGTGCTGGAGGGTGCGGTGAGTTATTTTTCCCTTGTCGTTTGCTGGCCAAAAGTATTACCTTTTAACATCGAACCCAGGCTGTTACATCAGAACTCTGTTAGTAATTTACTCTCTCTCTCTCTCTGGGAGCTATAAGATCGTATCCAAGCCAAAGAGCTGCTCACCTCTCTCTCTTTCTTTCTATTCAAATTCTAAGCCAAAAGTTAGCTGCCTACATCCAAATGACATCACTGTGCCTTGAACCATGAGCTTGTACTTTCTTATCCTTCCCTCCAAAGCCACAGTTTATGAAACTCTTACCTCCAGCCCACGGTGGAGCGGAGCTGTCTCACCCTCTGTTGCTTATTTTGATTCATTGTTTGGTTTTATTATCCATGGATACATAATGACACGTAGCGCTTAATCCTTTGAAGCTCGGTGTGCGCGGGTTGGGAAAGGCTGGCTTACAGAGCGCTGTGGAGATTAATACAGAGGTATTTGTCACTGAGGCGCTTCATAAGCTTGGGCTGTGTACGGTGGCTTTTAAACTGCTTGTGTAACAAGCTCTGAAAAGCTCATATTTCCCTCCACATAGACACTCATCTCTGTAACTTTCAGGGGATGTAATGGGGGCGGTAATCCTGTGATAATTACTCAATAGAGCTAAAGGGGAAAATAAATGTACTGTGCACACAGACGCAAACACATGTTTTATACAGTGTCAAGGCATGGGGTCACACATACACTATATGGACAAAAGTATTGGGACACACCTCTTAATCATTGAATTCAGGTGTTTCATGCAGTCCCATTGCCTTTACAAATATTTGTGGAAGAATGGAGGAATTTTTATAGAAGTATGTTCTTAAAAAATTGTGGAAAAGAAAAGTTTAATGGATTAAACATTTTTTAAACAACTTTTGTAAAAAGTACTTTGCACTGTCAGAACTATGTTGTCAGTCCTGACACTATAGGGCCGACATTTTAGGTTAGGTTAGTTTCTGTTTTTTTTCCTACAAAGTCATCACATTATTGTCCTGAAAAAAAAAACACAACATAATATATATAAATATAAATATAAACAGAATTTTTTTCTGTCTTGCAGGTAAACGGCCTCACGAATGTGGCATCTGCAGCAAAGCTTTCAAACACAAGCACCACCTGATCGAGCACTTGCGTCTGCACTCAGGAGAAAAGCCGTACCAGTGCGATAAGTGCGGCAAACGCTTCTCTCACTCGGGCTCGTACTCGCAGCACATGAACCACCGCTACTCCTACTGCAAGAAGGAGGCCCATGGGCAGGGCATGGCGCAGAGCACCGAGGAGGAGGAGAACCACAATGAAGAACAGCCTCGGCCTGAGAGCACTGCAGCGTCACCTCCATCACAGCTGGACTCGGACGAGCGAGGGAGCAGCGCCAGAGAGGATGAGGAGAGCGAAGAGGAGGAGGAGATGGGCTCTGGCAGCGTGGTGGACGAGGACGAGATCCAGGTGGTCAGGATCGGGGAGGAAGGAGGAGAGGATGAGGAGGAGGAGGAAGAAGAGGAGAGGATGGAGGAGACGGAGGGAGGAGCCGAGGAACACGTCAGGGAAAACGGAAGACAAGAGGAGACGGTGGAAACACTAGAAGAAGGACAAGGAGAGGGAGAGAAAGATGGAGAGATGATGAAGGTTGTGGTGATGCAGGTGTGCGAGGAAGAGGAGGATAACGAAAGAGCAGAAGAACAAATGGAAAACGCAGAGCCGATGGACACGCAGGAGAACGAGGAGCAGGAACAAGCAGGGGATGCAGGAGAGAAGGATGAAGGTGAGGAGAAAGGAGAACTTGTGAAGGAGAACGGTGCAAATGAAGGAAACACATCCAGCGAAAATGGAGATGTGAAATGAAGAGGAAAAGATAAACAGCTGGGCTTTTGTCGCCCCCATCCTTTGCTACATCGTTTTACAAATGTTACTAATTTGAAGGAACAAAGACTGCAGATGCCGTCTCTTCCAGAGTATTGACTGTGCAGTAATGAAGAGAGGAGGAGGAGGAGGAGGAGGAGAGGAGCGCTGGAGCGCTGACGCTGCATTTTAGCCCACTACTGTGTATAAAATCCCCTGGTGTGCCTGATAATACGAAACAAAACTAGTTGCTTTTCCAGTGTTTATGAATATGGTTTGTATAAATACAAAGTTTAACAAACAAAAATTGACGCATATACGGACTGAAAGCTAGACACGTTTTAGCTAATAATGTTTTATTACTAAAACACCTTGGGTCAATTTCTTTTTATCAGTGTTACTAATTTTTTGTCACTCTTGTTTAAACCTTAAAAAGCTGTACAGTTGGGAGAGAGATTTCTATATGTTTTTATTGCCAATGAACAAAACTCAGTATTTTATTGCATTTGAAGGAAAAAAAAAAAAATCCTGTGCACTACCATTCTCCCAGTTTACCGATGGATCACCTCTGTGGGCCTTGCGTTGTTTATTGTCTACCTTTCAGTATTAGCACTCTAGAGCTAACCCCTATGCCATGCTAGCCTGTGCTAGCTCAACATTTACCTGTCTGTTTTGTTTTTGAAGTGGTCTGTGAGCCTTAAATGTGTAAAAAAAAAAAAAAGACAAAAAAAGATTTACACGGGTTTGGTGGGGTGGCAGGGTGGTAGTAACCTAATCTTAAATCCAAAATAAACGTTTTGAGAACTGATATTTCTGAGAAAACCCCCAGATTTGGGGTACAAGATTTCACACGAGTCAAAAGTTCACTCTTCAGTCTGTGACCTCCCACCCTCCCTTATGCAAAAGCATGCATGTTGAAGTGCCATTTGACAGCGCTCTCGCCGTTCTCAGACACACTTACCAGGCAGCATGTTAACCTGTGGGCTGGCGCTGTCTTTAATGTGGTAGCAAATCTAAACCCCTGAACCTGAACCACTAGTCCTAACCAAAGGACAAGACTGCCTCTTTTCTAACACATTCATGTAGTCTATCATCAATTCAGGAGAAGCAATCAAAGGACAAAAAAGAAAAGTTCAGTTTCTTTACCAGCCTTGAAGTGTTTATCTTTTTTTTTTCCCCGTTTGGTGCACTTCTTTATCTGATTAGCTGCACATAAACCTTTTCTTCAGGTAACAAATATAAGCAAATATGAACCCACAATTACCTTCACCTGTAGATTTTTTTCTACTTTTATAACAGTCAGTATTAATTTTTGTCTTTTCTGTTTGTTTTGTTGTTTGTTTGTTTTTCAGTGAAACATTGTGTATTGTTTGTTTGCAGTCATGGCAGTATTATTCCTCACCCCCCTCACCAGTATAACTTTTGTTTAGTTTTAGAGACCTTTTATATTTATGTGTCTTATTTTTATATTTTTCTTTATGGTTATTTATTACACAATGTAGTGTACAATATTGTAGTTTGTATTAATACAATAATATATTTTAGTATGAAGAATAATTTCGAAGATAAATGAATACAAAGCTGGGGAAGAAACTCTAGCATTTCAAAGTGTTTTAAAATAGAAAAAGTATTATTTTCAAATTTTCAATTATTTGAAAAAATTAAAAAAAAAAAAGAAATAAAATAAAAAAAAAGACCACCCAATGAAGGATTTGACCTTTATCTTCTCACGTTGCTCATTCTCATGTTACTGTCTCTTCCCCCACTAGACTTCGAGGCTACTGAACATTGATAAACGAATTGTATGCTATACACGCATGAGTCTTTGCTGTTGTACTGAAGGATTGTCCTTAACCATGAAACTGTGCTGCCCTTTTTACGAAGCCAAAATGTTGTTAATGTCAATTTTATGTTTTATTTTGTGCCAATGTGTTTTTTGTTCGTCTACGTCAAGGCCACAACTTGTTTTATATGTCCCTGTTTTAATCTATGGTTATGTATTTTTTTTTATAGATAGGTTTTTTTGTTTGTTTGTTTTTTTATGGCTCCCCATCTCACAATAAAATACATCAAGAATTGATCAAGAGCTGACTGGAGTCCATTTCAAATTGTTTCGGTTGTTTTTATAGCCAGTACACAGTCAGTTCCATAATTAATTATCGGCACCCTTAGTAATGAGAGTTGTTAGCTCAATCTCACACCCAACGTTTGAGAGGTAGAACCTTTAATTAAAGTATAAAAAAGCACATTATGATGAACGAAATGTAACTGAAGCATGTTCCCATATATATGGCATTATAGTATAGCATTATAGTAGAGGAGTCATTGCTATTATGTGCCAATAATTGTGACAATTTTTTTGTCTAATAAATTTATTAGAGTAAATTAAAGTAAATTAGAGAAGATTTACTTTAATTAAATATTAAATATTTCATGTGAGATTGAGCAAATTGCCCAGACATTTTTCTATGGCCTTTTCTTTACTAAGAGTGCCAATAATTATGAAGCTGACTGTGTATGTATGTGTATATATATATATATATATATATATATATATATATATATACACACACACACATTATAACATTTATAACAATTTACATAATACAATACTTCTGAATTATGAATCCCATGGTGGAGATAACCAGCCTAGACATCCATTTCCCACAAAACAGGAGCTGAAGCCTGAGCCATATGAAGAAGAAATATATGAAATGCAGACTGGAGAATGGAGGAAGAAGAAAGGAGAAACATCAGAAAGAGAAATAAGAAAACACAAAGATGCGAAAGAGAACAAGATGTGGCCTGACCTTCAGAACTCCCCAAGGTTATTGGCATTGATCAGGGTTGGGTTTCAGGCTGGCTTTTGGGCCAGGGAGCATGAATTAGTAATGCACTGGAGCACAGATCTATAATCTGATGAAAAGTCTGAAAATGATGCCACACCAGCTTCTTCTCTCTGATACTGTACGGCTAAACGGTTGCTGATGTGCTGTGCTCTGTGTGCGTGAGCCAGATAAAGAGCCTGATCTCTCCTGGGAGACATTAGTGTATGTGTGCGCGCAGATGTTTGAGCCAATACGTTGTCATGTGTGCCATCAGACCACAGGCTCATTTGAGAAAAGAAACATACAATAGTGTGCTGAAGTCAGAGACTGTCCTTCATTTATTTAATTTCCAGTCAAAACAGCCATAAAGTTATTAATTACTGAGTGAAAGAAAAAAGAATAAAAAAAATATATTTAACAGAAAATTACACAAAAGCCTCAACAACAACATATAACACCACTTCTCCATTTTTCAGTTTTCAGTGTGCACACTGTTTGCCTTTGTTACAGGTTTCATGCTTTTTGGGGGGATTTGCTTTCAGTTTTTCAAAGAAATTGTCAAAGAGTTATTTTTCCACAGTTCAGTCTTAGAAGTTGGTTGCACTTCCTGCTTCTCATGATCCCAGTAATCCCAGACACTTTCAGTTATGTTGAGGTCTGGACTCTGGTATGGTCGGTTCATTGTTCTGAGAACACCAGCTGCTTGTTTGTTTTCTCAGTAAGGGCTTCTTGAGAGCTACACATCCTTTCAGACCCATAGTGTTGGGTTCTTCCCACAGTGGAAGGATGGACAGAAACTCCTGTGGATTTTTCAGATCTGAAACAGGATTGGAGCTTGATTTTCTCCTCTCTCTTCAAGATGAAAGCTTTAAGTACTGTTTATCTGACGATGTCAGTATTGGTGGTCTGTCAGGTCTTGCATGGTTGTTAGGGGCCCCTGTTTCTGTATCTTTTAATAATTTTTTGAACTCCTGTTTCGGAAACTCCTGTTTTTTCCACTTATTTTCCTTTGAATTTCACCTTCTTTATTCAAGGTAATTATTTTATGTCTAATCTCTTCAGAAATATCTTCTGAAAAATGAAGAACTTGTACTTAACAGCAGTTTTGAATGGAAATTAAATGAATTGTGGTCTCTGACTTTTGCACAAAACTGTAAATTTCTCTAATATTTTCCTATATTTTTGTCAATACCAAGTGTGGCACATGCCCATATACAGCACACAGCACTGTGTAAGCTGTCCACTCTGTGTGGGTGTGTACGTGTGTGTGTGTGAGTGTAGGCTGAATGCAGTTGGTTTTTGATGAAGAAAAGCTGGTAAAGCTGCAACTGAGGCCAAGAGAGGAAGTAGATTCAAAGCAGAACATCCCCTGGGAAATTTAGAGAAAAACAAACACGCACACAAAATTACCCTACACGTACACATCAGCTTCATTTACCTGAACAGCAGAGAGAGAGAGAGAGAGAGAGAGAGAGAAATGAGATGCTGAAATGTTGATTGGTTTGTGATCAATGGCTTTTTCCTAGTGTGCCATCAGTTATGCTGCCTATAAAGAATCGCTACTGTTGGTTCTCCCTTTACACAATGCTGACCAACCTTATTATACACACCTAGATCAGTTATTTACTAAGACTTTCTTTTCCAAAGTGTTATTGAAAAAAACATATTGAAACTCTTGTGGCTCAAATGTAGTTTAAATGTAGTTTAAGCTGAAGGGTTTGAGTGCTGATGTGTGCTGACGCCACAACAAGAACAAAAAAATCGTGGAGTATGGCATTATTATGCTGTGTAAAAGGGGAAACCTGGAGGTTTTGACTTCAGAAAGTCAGAACTTCGAAGTGTTTTTCTGTGTTTGAAACAGTTTTGAGTGTCATGTGCTATTTGTGCACTCTGGTGATGAACTTGGGGAATATTGGGTATAATATAACTAAGGTTAAGATGTTCTGTGCAATATTTTTGATCAAACTTCACGCTTTCATTTCAAGTTCAAAAATTCTGAGCTCCAACGTGTTATGAATACAGCATTAGTCCCATGTTAAGACCTATCATTGCTCCTTCAGTTTTACAGATTATTCAAGAAAGAAAAAGACAGAAAAATGACAAAATTTAAACAATTTTGTTGAATCAATGTTTAAAAACTGTCACAGACAGTGCATGTGTACAAATGAGCTTTTAACAATAGTTAAAACTATCAAACTATCAAATTATTATTTAAGCAGAACCTGATATTTATACCAATCTATATATACCCAAAATATTAGTAAATTAACACAAATATGACTCATTTCGGCTCAAGATTCTCAACCTGTTTTTCTAGTTTTTAGCAAAGATTAGAGGTGATATCCAGCATACAGTCATTAAGAATCTGCCCACTCTGCTAATTCTCCAGATGCTGTTTTCTTTCATTACTGCACACCACTGTAGCCCTCTCCTGCCACTCAACTCAGTTTGACACGAAACTTCCTTTTGTCCCAATTTCTCTCTCCCTTTTTTTTTCCTTGTCCCAATCTCTTTTTGCTTTTTTCTGTTCTTTCTCCCAGTCTCTTTCTGCTCTTTCCTTCCATTCCTGTCTTTCCTCATCTCTTGTAATTCAATCAAGTGCTAAGTCAATTTTAGGCATGTTTCAGGACACCTCCCCCTTTCAGACATACACAGTCTTAATGCCGTCTAATGTGATGTCCAACACTGACCAACACACACTCTCACACACACACAAACACACAGTGAAGTAGCCAGTGGTCAGTCCTCTTACAAGACACAGCACAAGTCTTTGCACTGTCACTGCTAGAAACTGAGAAAATCACCTGAGAGTAACAAACCAGTGACAGAGTGCTGGGAGCCCAAGGCTCATCGATACACCAAGACAACTAAGGCTGTTCTGTCTGGGCCAAACTGTTGAACTTTACCCTGGTAACAATCTATATGGTCCTTTTTGTCTTTTTCAGAGGATATGAGAACACACTCTGAAAATTTTACTTGTCAGACAACAATACGTTTCCACTGTGCATCAGTCCTTTTTACATGGGCTCGAGCCCAGAGAAGTCGGCAGCGTTTCTTAATGTTGTTGATATATGGCTTCTGCTGTGCATAATACAGTTTTAACTTGCATTTGTAGATGCAGTGACGAACAGTGTTTACTGTAAATGGTTTGTCAAAGCATTCTTGAGCCCATGCAAAGATATCCATCTCAAAAACATGCTGGATTGTAATGTGGGGGTGCCTGAGGGGTCAAAGGTCACATGCATACAGTTGTGGTTTTTGGCCTTGTCCTTTACATAGAGATTTCTCTAGATTCAAATGTTTTGATTATATAAATTAACACAGACTGTGGAAAACCTAAACTTTCCTTGCAATCGCTTGTTGGGGAACACTGTTCTGAAACTGTTGGATTATTTGCTGATGCATTTTTTGGCAAAGTGGAAAGCCTTGACATAAACTAGGCCAAGGCAAACATGAGTGCATCACCTGTTTAAAATATGTTTTGAACATTTTGCAATGTTTCTAGTTTTAAATTGCCCCATCTCAACTTTTTTGAGACTTGCTGCAGGCAGCAATTTCAGAATGAGCACATGTTCACAAAAACAATTTGAATTTGATAAAACATTAGATATCTTGTACTTTTTTGTTTAAATACAGGTCACAACTTTTTTGCAGTGGGGTTTGTATATTCCCTCTCTCAGCTGTACTGTTAGATCACTGATTTCCCACCTTCGACCCCCCCTTTACCTGTTAATATCATCACCTCTACATACCCTCACACTCTCTCTCTCTCTCTGTTTCACACACACGTTTGTCAGGGTTGCTGTGTGCTGAGGTGTTTTAACCTCTGAGGCACATGACCAGGTTGGTTTGTTGAACTTTTACGCCCGAGAAAGGTTACAGGTCATGAATGGGTCAGTTAACTCTTTCCTTTTCCCTCGAGATCCTCTCACCACTGCTGCTGTAACTGCGAAACACTAAGACCAATATAAACAACCCATGTCCATCTGCAGATCAGATTTAGGGGTTCTCTGTCTGTCTCATTTTCTCTTAATCTGTCCCTCCATCCATATCTCCTTTCTCTCTCTCTCTTCATCCATATCTCCTTTCTCTCTCCCTCTTTTCCTTCCTCCCCTCCTCCCTCTGCACACACATGCTGCACTCAGAGCCAGATGGCACAGAAGAGAAAAATCAATTAGAGCTCCACCTAAGGGGCAGGGGGAATTCAGCCCGGCCCACCGCAGCAGCCCCTCCTCAAGCCCGGCCACAGC